TTGCATTCTACTATCTCTAATCATTATTAGATTCGACCATATCATACTATAAATAATAAGTCCATTTGGGAACCAGGGCTGCTGTCTGGGCTTATGTACAGGATAAAGTTGCTGTCATTGGTACTTATGTTATCCCCAGTGTATAATAGTGCCAAAAAAAAAAAATCATCCGTGTCTCTCTTCACATGTCATTTGGGCGTGGCCTTTAATGTCACTGTTTAGGGTCACGTATACATGAAAACATTGCTGTCATCGGTGTTTCAGCATTCTACAATGTACAAATAGTAATTCCTAGTTGGTTTCATTTATGTCTCTCTTTGCTTGATTTTATCATGTTGCTACTATATAAGACCCGCGTGGGTTCCTTGGGGCTGCTGTCTGGGCTTATGTACAGGATAAACTTACTGTCATTGGTATTTATGTTACCCCCAATGTATAATAGTAACAATAAAAAAAATTCATCCGTGTCTCTCTTCACATGATTAAATATGTATTTGGGCGTGGCCTTTAATGTCACTGTTTAGGGTCACGTACATGTAAAAATTGCTGTCATCGGTGTTTCAGCATTCTACAATGTACAAGTAGTAATTCCTAGTTGGTTTCATTCATTTCTTTCTTTGCTTGATTTTATTATGTTGCTGCTATATAAGACCCCCGTGGGTCCCTTGGGGCTGCTGTCTGGGCTTATGTAAAGGATAAAGTTGCTGTCATTGGTATTTTTGTTACCCCCAATGTATAATAGTTCCAATAAAAAAAATTCATCCGTGTCTCTCTTCACATGATTAAATGTATTTGGGCGTGGCCTTTAATGTCACTGTTTAAGGTCACGTACAGGTAAAAGTTGCTGTCACCTGTGACATTATAGCAAGTATCTACCTGGGAGTATAATATCCAATTATTTTTATCCATGTCTCTCTCCACGTGATTAAATGCATTATTTAACCCCCTATTTCATTTCCCCCAGCCCGCTTGTACAGGATGTGCCCCGGCAGCAATATTGAATATTTTATCTTGGCCCTATACTATCATCACCAGACCATCAAACCTTTTGTTTCTTTTCACATGATTAAATTTTCTGGGCTCCCGGTCTATATGTACAACGACTAGGAAATAGGTGTGAAATGCATAGGCCAAAAGAGCAGCATGCCTTAAAAAGCGAGGTTTCCTGTTCTTTTCTCTATTTCATATTTGAACCCGGATGTGCAAACTTTTTAAAATTACGCTTCTGAAATGTGTCTTTACTCAATATTTCAAATGCATCAAGAGTCAACTAGTCAATTGATTTGATAACGCTTTTGTATGACCGACCTTCATGGTGTAACCTTACAGCGACTAGTCAATAATTATACATGGACTTCACTGGGAAAGCTAAGAGGAAAAATACCTCTGAAAAATACTGGGGGAAGATATAGCACTGGGCGTAAATAGCCGGAGGAAATAGCAGGGAAAGTAGCCGGGATGAAAAAGAAAAAATCTCCGAGTGGAAAAAATCCGAGGCGAAAATTAGCAGTGGTGACAAGTGCCATAGGCTATTTTCTTTAAAGTAAAACCTAAAACCACCTCGATTTTGAGTCTACTCAATCCTCAAGGCAAGTCCTATAGCTAGAAATTACAATAGTAATATTTGGCGTTTGTTGAGAGTTGTTGTTAAATATTTTAGCTCCGATGAGGAACTCTATAGGAATACCCGGCTGATTGATTAATAGACCTTTTTTGTGTTGATTGCTTAATAGATCATTTTTGTATGGGCAGCCGTTAGGGCCAATTATTTTTATTGTTATTATTATTAGCCCCGATGAGAAGCCATAGAAACACTCATGGCCCTTTTTTAAGTTGGACCCCAGTGTGGCCCATACACCTACAAACAAAACAGGGGTTTCAGCCAGTTCTACATTACTGCCATTCACCACAAATAGGACACGTCGCATGATGGCGCTGTCGGTTAACGATGTGTTCTAAGATGGTTCTAAGGAACCAAAGGTCGTGAGTTCGATTCGCGTTTTGGTATTAAATAACGGACGGATCAACTGATCTGAATGAAACATTAGGGAAAGTTTAACCAAGTTACAAGGAAGAAATTATTGGGGACGATCCAGTTTAGTGTGTAAATTTGAGGGTCATTTAAATGACGTCCCAGACCTAAATATTTCTTTTAAAAAAATCACTGGGTATAATTGAAACAGCTTGTCAAGGTCTAGTAAAGAAACTATTAAATTTTTGTTGCAATCCGGGAGTAGGATGTTGATCTGATGAGGACCATCCAAATGAAAACGTCGCAGACCAGATATTTCGAAAACGGATCAACTGATCTGAATGAACATTCAGGAAAGTTGAACCAAATTACAATGAAGAAATTATTACGTGTTGGGTACGATCCAGTTTAGGGTGTAAATTTGAGGATCATTTAAATTCATTCTATACAAATGAAACTTTCTATAGTAGTTTGTCAAGGTCTAGTAAAGAAATGATTACATTTTTGTGATGAAATTTTTGCTGACATTATATAGGACGAATCCCCCTAACGATAAGACGATCTCAGAGCGAATCTTTTGTTTGATGATCTGTTTTTGTATTTAAATCGTAAGGAGCGAGCTGTTGTACAGGTGTTTGTCACCTGTTGGCTCGCTTTCGTCACTCTGTATATTTGTGAATGAGAAGTTTATTAAAACTAAATAAAATAAACATGATGATGATGATTACGGCACGGTGTGAATGAGTCATATGATTAACGCAAATAGGCCTATGCGAGCCCACAGGAAACGGGAACCACCAAAGACTCCTGTGTGCAGCCACTAAGGTAGGCCTATATTAAACCAGTTGCTGAGTTGCCGAATCCCAGATTGCCGAGTCCAATTTTCCGAATAGTTTACCGAATGCCATTTTACCGACCCAAAATTACGAAAACCCAGTTTACCGAAACCCAGTTTATTCCGAATTTCGACCTACACTAAAACAGTTTGTCGAATATCCTGTTCAATGTAAAAATAAGTGCGGCCTACTGTGCTTTAGGTCAGTGAAATATGCTGGATATTTAAGACGGAGGCTGATGGGGGGGTCACGAAATTTGAGTGGGTGAAGTCTTGAGGATAAAGCAGAGAAGAGCCAGCTGCTAAAAGAAGTGAAGGTGACATTAACTACTTTAGTCTTAAAAAAATTGTGCTCTATTAAATAAAACACGTAAAATAAAACAAAAGATCACAGTCATGGGCCGACGCGGGAATAAAAGGCCAGAAATTAACCTATATAACGTGGACGTGCTAATAAGAACAGTCGAGGATCCAGTAAAGGGGCACGTTTTGCCACTAATTTTTTTTTCATTTTATTGTATTGACATAAGCGCTACTCACTTATCTATTCTAGAATGTTCTGCACCCCCTCCCCACCAACCCCGTTTGAAAAATTCTGGATCCGCCCTTGAATGGGATAAAATTAGTAATGTGGGCAGCAGGAGATCCAGAGATGTCCGAAAGGGGGTCCGAGAGTTGGGCTGATCGAGACCCTGGGGGGTCCGGGAGAATTCCCCCGCTAAAATTTTATTTTCTAGACGCCAGAAAATAACCTGAGGCTTTATGGGCGATCAATTACTGTTTTTCTTTGTTTTTTTTTTTTTCTTCAAAAAAATGAATGATAAAGGCACCTCCAGATTGCCAGAAATGGCACACTCTGAGTGTAATTTTCCTTTTTTCTCAATTTTTTAAAATAATTTTTAAAAATTGAGGGGAGGGGGGCACAGTCCGGCTTGGGAAGAGTGATTGTGGCGGAGGGAAGTGACAGATCAAAGCTTCACAAAATTATCAGTAAAAAGAAAAGATAGATGAACATGATTTTAGCTATACACATTTTAATCATAAAACATAGACATTTTAATTTATGGCTGATACTTTTTATTGAGTTAATTTCTTTCTCTTGGTACAAAATAATATGTTTACATTATGTTATTATTTTGTTTTGAAAGTAGTTGAAATCAGTTCAATTTCCTTTGAATGACGAAACATAACAATGATGGAACACAATACAGTATAGGTAGAAATACAAGGGCCAGAAACGGATACAAATAATTTTCACAATGACATCATAAATTTGTGAGATGCAGATATAGCTGATTTCCATACGATGAGAATTATCTTTTAGTAAATTAACAACACTATAATGTTATTCAATGATTGATAAAAAAAAAAAAGGATATAACTATTATCTAAATATTATAATAATACGAATATTATGATAGCACAACTCCAGATGGTTTCAAATTTGGAGCATAAGTGTAGAATACAGAATATCTTTACAAATCTAACTAAAAAATGTACCATAATTGTTGTCCCTTCAGAGCCAACTACAAAAAAAAAGATCAAAGAAAATCAAGACAATGTCTAGAATACAAGGTATAATAATGTATAATCTATAAAGTTTTTGAATGTTTACTCAGGATTAATGAATATTTGATAACTGGTCATATTTTAAAACTCCATTCATCATGCTGGTTCAGGGGACACTGGATGCACAGTTCGGTGTACACAGACCAGATTATGCATGTTCAGGGAACACAAGGTTACCACAGCACAAAATGTAATTCTACTTCACAAATCTAGCTTGTGATAGTGGTAACAGAATGTGTATCTATCTGGGATATATTAACAATATAGCACAACAGCTATTTTACTGTCATATGTAATTAAAAATGTACATAAACCATAACTATGTCTACAATAATTCCCACTTTCATATCACAATATATATGTCCTTCCTAAATACTTTTTATTACCTTTAAGTCATTCAAATTAACATAATTATTCGTTCATGCTACAATTTTTTCATGTACTTAAGTACCATTACTAATAAAAACAACAAAACAAATTGTTGTTTTAGGCCACCCAGTTTATTGCAAAAAGTCTATTTTAGCACTTATTAACGTGTCTGATATTCTAAACAAGTACAGGGGCTATATTCTTGTTGCAAAATACTTTTATTCTGAAAGTTTGACAATCTGCCAAACTTTAGCCTCTTAGTATATTTAGTCACTGTTAAAAAGGATTATTCACATTATTTTGTTATTCCTAAAGGCAGACACACACTGCGCCTAACAATCGTCAGCCGAAGCGATTCTATGGAGAATGCAACGACAACACGTGTGCAATGGAGCATTATTAATGAGGATTTACTCAGACTGCCACCAACAATCACCAGACAGGGTGGCATCATCTAACACATGTAGCAGGGTTAGATTCGTCAGCCGACGGTTGTACGACCCTTGCACGAGGCAATACCCAACTTTAACAGTTTAAGCAAGCTATTGTTTGGCTACACATCATTAACCTGAAGCCCCATTAAATAAGAACTGGGTTACCATGATTTAAAATCCTGGATTCGATCAATCCACACCATATTCAACCATTTAATGCACTGTAGGAAATCATACACATGTTAAATTTTACTTTAAAAAAAAAAAAAAATAGAAAGTTTAATCAATTAAAGAGTGTAATTATTCTAATGATCTTGATTGATGCAAACATATTGAAAACACAAACCAACAAAGATAACACCACATATTAAGGAAGTATATGTTGCAACAAATCAGGCAGCAAAAACAGAGATAATGTACTCAAGTACTAATAATATATAAACTTTGATTAAATAAGGTTTAGGCCTGGATGGTCTCGTAACAGGAGGTAAGATATATAGTATTAATAGATTCCCAATAGTATGAGTTAGCGTGTAAGTCCTGTCTGCTTAAGATGTAGGAGTAAAGATCGCATCCGTGTCACGTCTTTGGTTGTCTTACTGTTTTTAGGATTAAAATCACAAAGCCTAGCAACACGTTCCCATTCTTGTCCTGGAATGTCCTCGTCCCGTTCCTGAATAAAAGCTTCTTCACTGGCCCTGGTAAGAGAAGAAAGCAAAAATATTTTACATAAATCACAAAAAAAAAAATCATTTGCATATGTCAGTAATATTTATGTTAATCTCCTTTCTAACAGAGGAACACTCTCTCAATAAGAGGTCCAGCCCATACAAAACTTAAAATATATATAGAAGCTACAATATTATAGAAATATTATATAAAGCCTATTTTCAACTGAAAATATCATAGTTTTATTTATGCTTACATCATAATGCGCTTAACAACTTACTACATTTAGTATAAACTTTTCTCATTTAAATACTAGAAGTCATTTAAAATATTTACAAAGAAAATGAAATATAACTGGATGACTGCCCTCAATAGGTGACATGTTTGCTCAGACTGACGTGTCATGAAGCCATATTTTCCCGAAGGAATTAAGCTATAATATGATGTCCTCATTGCAAATTTATTAGATAATATACTGAAACGGTTGATTACCGCAATCATCTTTATTACCAGTTCAGATTACAGTCACATTAATTTATCGCACATTTTGCAAAGGAATAAAAGGAGGGTTGGCAGTGCAAGGCAGCATTGAAGGATTCTGACCAGCACTTGGTTTAAAATTTGGCCTAGTCAACCGGCAAGTAATTCAGAGGGAACAGGGTGTAAAATGAAAAATAAGCCAAAAATAAAAACTTTCAAGAAATTGAGCTCTTAAATATATGAATATATAAAGAGAATAAAATCTATAATTTTTGTTACACTTTTAATTAATGTTCTATTTTGTTTGCTTTGTTTGTTAATCAACTTTAATGTTTATACAGTAAACATGTATGTTCAACTTCAATTTGTCGTATATCGTTGTATTTATCATGCATAAATAACAAAGGGACTGAGGTGGCTGGCTTATTATTAGATATTATTCAGGATTTTCTACGTCATCCTAGACATTACAGTAACATCTCCCAATTACGAACCTCCCAATTAAGAACTCTTGATTTAACGAACCCTATTTGCGACGATGACGTCATTACTAATCGTTTTTAACTACAAAAACACTTAAAATTTTAGTTAAGTGTCTTCAAAAATAATATCAAAGGTTATTATAGCTACAAAAGAAAACATTTAAACCAATAAAGTGACATAAAACAAACTTTAAAGCAAGAAATATTGATTGTTTTCAGCCGAGATATATTACATTTGAGCTGTGCATGCTTGTTCAGCATACTGTACAGTAAATCTCACTTTTTGTTAATTGGGGCGCTATTTGCATGGATTCGCGATGAAGAGAATAAACAACAGTCATTTTGGCCATTATATGGTCATGTTTTCATTTGGAGATCACTTCAAATGAATACTTCATAGTGAGTACAGGTAATTTGGCTTCTGTAAAGGATTATTTTGTTGCAGAAAACAGTAAAATCTAAGTCATTTTTCATAACAAAAATTTTGCTCCCATTGCAAGGCTAAGGCCTACCTAGCCCTGTATTGTGTAGCATAGGCCTACCCTTACTACACTGAGATGCTACGAAAATTTGAACTAAAAAGTTAATCTGTTACTTGTACAGTTATTCGTGTGAACTGCAAACACAGAAGGCGTGGATGGGTTAAATTAAAATTAGCCAAAAGAAAAACTAATCAAGCAGTAGACACCGTTCAGATGGCAGCCTATTTTTTACCCTTTATATAAGATAAACTCACCTGTTACTTGTTTTGATCTTTTCCTGTTGTTCTGACCTTTTATTGTGCCAGTCAGCCAACTCCTTTTTAGCGGTTTCTGCCCATTCTTCTTTAAGGGCTTCGGCTTCTTTGTCTAATTACAACACAAATTAGGATCAATAATCAACTATTTTCAACGCTAATATATACAATACATGAACTAAAACTAGCTATGTTGTATAAAAGCAGTCCTTTCCGTTAAATTGTACTCATAACAAAATCGTTCTGTTTTGCTGAGAAAATTGACATAACATAATAGTGACTTTGTGTAGTAGGAGAGGTAATAACAACTATTTTTGTTTTCTTCTGGTTAGTATGCACATACAGGGGGAGGGGGTGCCCAGTCGACCCACCCAACCTCCCCATCCCCCTAAATTTTTCAAAATTTAAAAAAGAATGGAGAAAGAAAGAATATTAAATTAAAGTTTCAAGTTTGAGAGTGCCCCTTCCAGCCATCTAGAGGTCCCACAATCATAAATTTGCTTGCTTCTTGGTGAGGCTGAAGTGGTACCGACTCTCCATCTGTGATAGTCCCTTCCTAGGCCCACCTCTATTTAAAATTTCTGGGTTCGCCAATTAATATTACTAGATGATGCTTACGTCACCAGCTATTTTTTAATCCTTATAAATGTGAACTCAAATTGGTTAGCTTCATTATTTATAAAATTGAATTAGTTTAATACTATCCTGTTGTTACCTTTTTTGGCCAGCAATTCCTCTTGCTCCGCACGCCATTTCTTAATCTTTTCCGGTTCATTAGCTAAACGATCTACTGATGAGATTGCCGAGTATGAATCAGTAGGCCCATTTTCCTGAGGAGACTTTTTAAAAAGGAAAAAACGATTTAATACTTAAAAGCATCACAGATTATAAAATTCAGTATGGATATCCTTCCGACATGCTGCAGGGCATTAAGACAGCAAGATTGAAGTTCATAGTTAGGGTCAAGCCAGCCCCACCGATCATCAACACGGCCTTTAAAAAGGCATGAAAATATATTGTTTATTTTTGACATCCAAGAGCAAGTACTTTAATGTACATGTACTGTACTTGATGTTGAATATCAAAAACAGATAATATATTTTCTTTTTAAAGTTGATCAAATAAATTTAAAAGAAAATGTTGATGAGACCCGATGAAACAAATATTCTATAGATGGTCTAATTTTACAAAAAAAATATAAATTATCAAAAACTGATTACGTTTGGCAAAAACACACTTATTAGAGCGTACCTGTCCTGCGTCATCTCCTACACCAAGGATGTCTGCATCAACACCAACAAAGTCTAAATCTTAAAAGAAAAAAAAAAAACACTCAATTACTGTACAGTATTTCTGTATAATTCATTAGGAAAGCTTAAAGCCCCATTCCCGGCAAAATTTCAGTTGTTAAGAAAAATCTAATTTTTGTATAATGTTATAAAGATTTATAAATATAATACGGAATTGTTAGTTTAACTAAATTTTGACATTCCTAAGCATGCAAAAAATGTAAAATAAGACTGAAATTTGTTTTTTTGTGTTCCACACAAAATATAAATGCGGATGAATTTTTCATGTTTGATTTTGCGATAGGTCGTGCGAAGAAATATACAGTAGTAGGCGCCGAAAACATTAGTCTATCCAACACTGCTAGACTAGGCCTAGTCTTACCTCGATTTAGGTTCTTTTATCACACATAAAAACAGCCGACATGATATTTCCGTTGCTAGTATTTACACTTGTGAAATATAATATTTCATAGGAATCATTTCCCCAGACTGTAAAGCGAGGCCTGCACAAAGAATATATCCTACGTGCAAATTAGGCCTAGAAATCTGTCTGCGCATTTCGGAAAATAAGGGCTGATACACATAGTACTAGTAGTCAAGGGCCTTACACTACAGGGCCTAATACTACCTAGTAAATCTAACTTTCATTCAACAAGAAGATCCAATTTAATTTCTGTAAATATAGACTGTAAGTAACTATAAATTTCGTTTACGATTTTTCTTTTACTGTAAATAAACATATGGTCTGTATGACTGGAAAATCATGCATTAATTAGCTAGGAATATAGAATGAAAATGTATTAAGAATAGTACGAGAGCCTAGAACAGCAGGGTGCAATTCCTAGCGTGTGGCTACGATTTCCGTCACTACCACCGGTTGCGGTCGCCGGTCTCAGACCTTGATTTAAAAGGCGCGCGATCGCGCCGGCGCTCCTCCGCGCTCCTCGAAATTATGCGAGGAGAGCAATCAATAGCGCTCCTGAATTTTTCTAGGGGAGCAACAAAAATACCAAATTTCATTACAAAAGCACACATTTAAATTTATTGTTTATAGTCATCTGTCTAATTCAGTCGGCTTGCAAGATAGTAAAAAAAACTTATATATTATAATAAATAATTTAATTAAATAATTTAACAAAATAGTACAAAAAACGAATAAGTTAATTGAAATACGCCGCAAGCCAAACGTAAATAAACACATTTTTAATACGATTTTGCAATTATACAACTTCATTTATTTGTATAAAAATGTACATAAAATTACATTTTTAATACGATTTTGCAATTATACAACTTCATATATTTTTATAAAAATGTAGTACATAAATATATTAAAATTCTAATTTTCAATTACACAATTATACATCACGAACGGCAATACGAGCAAATCAACGACTGACAAGACTGTGGGATGAATATGTAGCTGGTATCCGGGGGGTTCATTCACTGATTACATCGGCAAGCCGACTACATTCACTGAGAGACGCACTACATTCACTGAGAGACGCGCTTGGCGTTCCATAGAAATTACCGGCGGCTCTACTTGTTGGCGGCTCAACCGGTCATATCCCATCTTAGCCTACTCTAACTAGGCCTAGCTAGGCTAGGGGCCTACCTAGGGCCTAGTAGGCCTACTGCTACAACTAACTAAACCTGACTGAAGCTGTTTTTCCACTACTGTAGGCGAATTTATTCGCGCGAATCAAAGGGTCGGTTCGCTTCCTGAGCTCTGATTGGTTGCGCATTTTTTCGCTTCGCAAAAACTCCGATAGGAATGTGAATGCGCATGCACATGAACCGACGCTTTCGATTCGCTCGAATAAATTCGCCAAGTGGAAAACAGGCTTGATTGAGGGCCTACTCTCTGGGCATTCAGACTGTGTTCTCGGCACATAATGTTCTCAGCACACATTTTTTTGTAGTGTGCTAATGGAATTTATGTCGAGCACAAAATGTTCTAGTGAGAACCAAGTTGAACCACGTTCTCGAAACAAAATGTTCTCGAACGACGACTCTGGAATGAAGTCTGAACGTGTGCCGAGCATAAAATGTTACAACTGGGCAGGCTTCAGTGACGTGACCAGACCTGCTTTGACATTCTTCTGTTGCGCAATGTTGTTATTAGTACGGCAGTACCACTGTTCTCTTGATTAATTTATACTGTAGGCCTGTTTTTTTTGGAATAGTAGGCCTAAATTTTTTGGAATAAAACAAAATGCTGGAAACATTTTCTGACAGAGGAAGCATATGGAGTGCAGTTGAAATGAATTGCGTAGTTGAAGTTTGGGGAAGAAGGGAGATAGAAGCACAAAATACCTGCAAAGGATCTGGTAATAAACAACTGTTCCAAAAGGTATCTGACGATCTTGCGGAAATGGGATTTCCACGAAGACCCTGGGATCGTATAAGAGACAAATTTAATAAAATGAAGAGAGAGTACCAAGAAATAATAAATCAGAAAAACAAGTCCGGCAAAAAAATGATGATTCGAAACTTCCGTCGTGGTTTTCAGCTATGGATGACATCTTGGGTACCAAGCCTGATACTGAGCCAGTTGTCATATCCAACAGCGGGGCCGGAGGTGCATGAGAGATTGGCTTAAATTATGGAAATAAAGTTAGGCCTACAGTGACTCTGAGCTCCTCTCAAAATGTTCCACATCCATAAATGCCAGGAACATGGTTTTATAATCTGAATGATCGTGTTTCGAAAAAAACATTTTAGTTCGGTGTGGTATGTGAACATATGCCGAGAACATAATGTTACGAAATCATTTTATGCCGAGTACATAATCGGAATGCGCCCTTCGTACTCTAAGCTAGGCCTGACTAGGCTACTGTAGTTACAGGTAGGCCTAGTTAGGCTAGACTAGGGAGGATGCCTAGTTTAGGCAAGGCCTTCTTTGCATGATGACAGCGCACAGACAGGGGGAGGTGAGGCCTAGCCTAGGCCTACATTATAAGCCTAGGCCACCTACCTTGGCCTTGCCAAGGTAGGTGGCCATGCAACATACAACATGCGCCAACCTGGCTGACTACACTTGTCACTACTGTAGTACAGTAAACCCAAACCAACTCTGATTTAAACCGGTCACAGTGTATGAATGAAGCACTTAAAAACAGACAATTGTTTAACATTAACAAAACAGATTTTGTTAATGCAAAATCTAATTAGCCTTTATGTTCTTTAATAATAAAAGTCAATTGGTTTATCAATCATATTCATATACATTTCTTTTTCTTGTTTGCTGTGTTTCCATTTATGATACATATTATGTTTATGAATGAATAAATTGATTAAAATAATTATTGTCAAGTATAATAGTACATAAATATATAATTAAATGAAATTAGATAAAGTATAGGTATTATATTTCCTTATCTTTTTTTTTGCATATCTTATATTGTCTGTCTTTACTTGATTTTACTATTTACTATTTTTTTTATCTGTATCCATTCACTAAACATACATACAGACACTTATAAAGTTATGTGTTCGCAATTAACACTCAGAATTTGTATAGTATTAATAAATGGTAAATAATTATCTTACTTAAATGAACTCCCATTCCATAGAGCTGAATTTTCAGATGAATTTTATATTATATTACATGAACTGGACCCTCCTAAATTGACTTCAACCCATATCAAAAATATTTTATGTTTTATGATCAGTCTGAAATGTTAATAAACCGTCTTGAAAAGAAGCCCATCTAAGGGTCCTAAAAAAGAAGCCCATGGGCTTCTATTCGAGGTTTTAGGATATACATTTCAAAATTGGAAGTCATCTACCCTGTACAGTACTTTGTTGCCTGTTTAGAAATTGGAGGGGGTTTTTTTGTGGAGCAAGACTATAATCCCATTGTGGCTATGTTTAAATGTTTATTGATTGAATAATCATAGCAAAAGAATTAAACAATTTTGCTGGAGCTATATTTAAGAACTATTTACTGAAAGCTTAGGCTTATATTATGTATTTAGTGGAACATATTTGCACAAGTAAACAATGTTTTGCCCAACTTGACAAATTTTTCCACTGAATACTTAGTATGTCCACAAATAAAAACACATTCAGATTTAGGTGGGACTCAATTCCAAGATCTGCAGAATTTGGTATCAAATCCGCTTGACCACTGATTTTGTGGATAGTGGCCAGGGGCGTGTGCTGGTTTTGCCTTGTACAGTAGGTGCAAAAATTGAGAATACAGAGCTAAATCACTATTCCAACAAAAACTTAATGTTCATTTTTAGTATTTTAACCCACTTGGTGAAGTGTAACTAATTTGCCACCATGGGGGAGGGGTGTACAGGTACGTCAGTACCTCATGCACCAACAGCCTATAGTATGCACTTGGTGGCTAGGTATGAATTTGATTTCCAAGTAGTAGTGGGTAGCGATGCAATAAGGGGGAACACCCTTCCGCCACCCGTGGATTAGCCACTGAAAGTAACAAGTAGTGAAAGTCATTTTAACTTATTACTGATTACAATTGTTTTTTGTTATTTAATATAGATTATCGCTGTATTACAAGAATTGGATCAGTTGCCAGTTTCCATAGAAGTACTACAGGTACAGTGTCCATTGCGCGTGTTAATATTTAAAATTAAGAGATTCATAATTTATTACCATCTTGGCCTAAACTGTATTAATCCACCAGTTGCAGGAATCGGCACTCTCCTGCACTTTCGTGAGCAAATAGAAATCTCCTCTAAACTCACCAATCTCTGGAAAGTTCATGATTTTTGTATATTTTTTTCTAATGAACATTATCAATTGTCTCCCTCTAGTCAGGTAGCCACCACAACAGGCAACAAATATTGTAAATGCAATACCAAATGCAAATTGTTCTTTATTTTTTAGAGGACTGGAATTGGGAAAGTGGTGAACACCTTCCGAAAGCATGATGGAGGGGTGTCTGAGCATGCTCGAAATTTAGTGAAGAAATGGAAGGCCCTTGTGCAAGCTGCAATGGATGCAGAGGCTGAGAAAGAAGCAAAATCTGTGAAGGAATCTGAGAATGTAAATGGAAACCATATGCCAAAGAAGGAACACATAACCAGACCAGATGCAGACATCAGCAAACCAGCACAAGACCATCAACCAAAGGACTTAAACTGCAATGTATCTGAGAAGAAACCTAAACAAGCAAATTCTGAAATATCACCGAAACGTAGAAAAACAACTAAGGATGGAAGTATAAAGATATCTTCACCTAAACAAACTAGTCCAGCAAAGTGTTTATCTAAGGATGGGAATATAAAAATATCTTCACCCAAAGTAAAAGAACAGACATCAAAAGAAAAAGTACCGATGTTATCAAAGAAGTCAAAAGATAATGAAGATGGTAAAGTCAAAACAAAGTTGAAATCAAAACCATCTTCTGAAATTGAATACGAAGAAGGACTTGAATTTCAGAATTCAGGTTTATCATTTGCAGATTGCTTGGCTGGAGGGTTACCAGCTGAGAGTGTGGATAAATCAAGGTCAAAAGGTCAGTTTGATCATCAGAAAAGCTTAAAAAGGAAAGTAGACTCTACTTTAAAAATCGAGAAAGGTAATAGACCTAAGGCAGTCACTTCCCCCACCTCCTCCCCCTCTTCCTCTTCAAAAACAAAAAGTAATGATGTTACAATGCCAAAAAAAGCATCAAGTCATGTTGTTGGAGAGAAGGAGACAAAATACAAGACTGAACAGAAACAAAAGAAAGGATGCACTGGAGGTACTATGCATAAGTCTGTATCAAATACTGATGGGAAAGATGATAATACTAAAAAAGGATCCCAAGGAAGCAGTCAAAATATTAGCTGTCTGCACAAAAATAAAACACAAATTACAAAAGGAAAAACAGATAATATTCCTGGAAAAAGTAATGTAACAGATATTAAGAAATCAAGTACAAACAATTCTAAAGATAAATCACTCAAAAGTGCGGAAAGATCAGATAAATCAAAAATAAAAACGAACGATGTGACTAAAATATCTTCATCGCAGGAGCATGTGAAAGCAAGTAAGTTGTCCGTAGATGTCAAGAAGAAAGATCATACTAAAAAATCTATTGAGAAATCAGTGAAAAAACATGTAGAGAAGCCAAATGAATTAAAAGACAACATACAGAAAAAGAAAAAAGAGAAAAGCGGATATTCATCTGCGGATAGTAGCGAAGATGAAATATGTTTTGAAAATACTGGTTTATCATTTGGGGATTGTCTGTTTGGCGAGCCACCAGCAGCAACGAAAAATCTCAAACGTACAGGGGAAGTAAAAAAGAAGAAAACGTTACCAAAACAAGAAAAACATAAAAGTAATGTGATTAAAAAGACTAGCTCTAGTAATAGGTCAGAGGTTAAGCAAAATGAACCGAGTCATCAAAATAAAGACAATGTTAAAAATAGTACAAAGTTATTGATCAAAACATCATCACAAGCAGTAAGTAATGAAAGGAAACGAAAAACAGAAGATGTTAACATGGAAATTCCATCTTCACGTAAAAGAGTAAGTTTATTTTACAACAGCATTTGTTTTCATCTATACCTTCACTTAACTAGTAGGTACTGGTAGTTGTAGCCATCTAATTACAGATGTTTGGCAGCCATTGACTTACTTTGCCACTTAGAAAAGTGATTAGTTCACTGTTTAACTTATACTTTGCTCTTGTGCCAAAAGTTTATTTTAAAATAAAATAATTTTAGTAACTAAAAATAAATCTACCATACCTTGAAAAGAAAACTATAAGGTCTAAATTAAACTTTAGAGCGCTGTAGTACTGTATAATTTTCTTAACATATTTTTGCTATTTTCGGTCATAGACCGTTATCAGGTATCATACTATCATTTATATTATATATTGTTTTTTTCATTCCATTTAGATCAAGGATTGTTATGATTCAGGAATATTATTACCTGAAATATCTACGGACTATAAGCCATTACGCCGTCCAGCAGCTGACGAATCTTCACCCAGAAAGCGTTCCCTAGCTGCTGTTGAAGACAATCAGCTTGTGTTTAAGGGAGCGAAGGAATCCAGGACCAAGGTGTTTTCCGGCAAAGCAAGGGTACATCTCACTGGTAAGCTATGATTTGTTGTCATAGATTTGTGTGGGGCTATAGCATTGTGGGTAAGATACCTGTCATGGTTCAATCCTGTTTACTCCACTGTTGTATGCCCATATATAGTCATCATGTGCTTATATATGGTCAAAAATTGAGGCCCAGCAATGGACCCAAATAATGATTGCTTGTATTTCACTCATTCAATCGTCATCTTGATTAATTATTTGAATATATTTTTTCAGCTGTTCCTACACTGTTTGATGCTTGTATGCGGATTTTGTGTGACAATATTGATTGTAAGTAAACATAGTAGAAATAGTGTAGATATTTTTATTGTTCGTCTTGACTGTGTTTGCCCTGCCCCAATCAATATGTTCTCTAATCTGTCACTCATATTTTTTTTTAAATACAAATTTCTACTATATTATTTAAAATCACTTTTATTCAAAAACACACAGAAAACACATTACAAAAATTTGATAAAAGGAAAACATAAAGAAAACTCCCTAGGATCCATGTTCTTAAAATAAATGACAGAGAGGGGACAGAGCCCAAACAGATTACAAAAAAAGATAAAAGAGGAAAGGAAAGGGAAGACAAGGAGTAAAGACAAATGTATATAAATATAAAAACATTTTAAAAATAATACATTACTAGGCATATCTTTCTATACAGACTCTGCATTGATCAAGTTTGTTAAACATGAAAACTTAGAGAGTGCTGCGTAGGAAAACTGTGTGCAAAAACATAAGATAATAATAATCACAATAAATATAACAGCATACTTTATACAGTTATACAGTTAAACTCAAATCCAAAATGCCATTGAAATATTGTTCGACCTAGACAAAATTCTACTTACAGATTGTTAATTAATAAAAAACACAACAATTTGACATGTAAAATAAGATAGACTTAGAAATTGATCGACTTAGAAATTATTCGACTTTAAGTTTAACTGTATAAGAGTTATCATATAGCTAATTATTTTAAATTCATGCTAATTTTCTTTTATTTTTAGTACTTGAGGATGTTGGTGGTGTTCCATTTGATATATTGAAACCTGTTATGGAGCGTTGTACTTACCAGCAACTTTACAGGATTGAGGAATACAATCCAGTAAGTTGCTCAAAATACTTTTGGAATGGGGGACATCTTGGTCTTTAGGCACATAACTGGTCATGCATAACATGCAACTATCTCTGCAACCTCAGGTATCATGCTGTTTTAATTCAGCCCACAAATTTGAATGTTTAGACCCAACCAGGTGGCCAATTATACTTCGGTGTTTCAATAGAGAGAATAACATAAACTGTGAATTCTCCTCACCAACTAAATTTTTCAAAATTAAATTTTGGAGGGGCGTGCGCACCCCCTAGATACGCCATTGTTTCCAATTCCTGGATCTGTCACTTTTAATTGCCACCATTGGTCAATAGCTGGGGTGGGTATAAAAATGGGTTGCAGGGACAGAGTGAATTTTTGACTTGTTTGCAGAATGCTTCCAAAACCTTCATGGATTGGTTTTTACCACTTTATGCTCAGTTTGAATATCACCTTTTACAGATGATCAGTGTCAGGCCATAAAAAAAAGGTGTTTTTAGCCAAAGATGGTTGACACATAGGGTTTTTAATTTACTGTATTTTCGTGGGCTGCAACAAAATCATCATTGGGCTGCATAATGCTCACCTGTGTTCTATAGTAATCCACCTCAAAAGTAAATCTATCATAAAGGCCCACTATACTTATTTACACCTTAATTGCTGTTAGAACAATTTGTTTCATTTTTATGTATTTGTTTTTATACTTTCCTTCAAATCTTCAGCATTTTATCGAAGATTCTGACTACTTATGGCAAAAACATGTTTTGAAAGAATTCAAGTTATCAAAACTGACTCGTGGTGAAACATGGAGGCAATGCTACCTAGTAAGTGTATTTGAGGATAAGATAAGGAGCAAAGTCAATGAAGATGATTGTGCTTTGGTGGAAGAGAGAGGTGGGTGGTGATGAGGACGTTCTTGAGGGTGATGATTTGGGGTATCAAGAAGTTGATGATGATAAGGAGAAGGATGATAAGGAAGAGGGTGACAAAATGTGTGATAATGTTGAGAGTGATGAGGAGGAGATAATACTGTACCAATGAGAATGAGTGATGGTGATGATGTTGATGGAAGATGGTGCTGATAATGGTGATGGTGATTAGGAGCAGAATGACGGTAGTTGTGAGGGTGATGATGCTGATGTCCAAAATAAAAATGAAAATGGTAATGGTAGTGATGAAGAAGTGAATGATGATAGGTGATGTAGACGAGGAGAGGGAGGATGATGAGGATGATCATGTTGATGTCGACAGTGATGAGGATAATATCGATGATAAATCAATGCTGCTGATGATGGTATGATAGTTATGTTGTTAATGTTGGTAAATTATATATAGCACAATATATAGCACAATATAGCATAAAATTATATGCTAGTATAAGTAATAATGCTGTAACAACAATATACTTATTAAAATATGTGTCTATGTTTCTTTATAACAAAATGGAATGAGGAGATAATTGAGATAAAAATAATAAATGTTATTATTATAAAAATAAATAAATAATAAACAAATAAATAAATATATCATAAAATTAACCTAATTTTCGCTCACTGTTGTAATCATCTTTCCTTTTAATTTTGATCCGGGTTTTGCTTTTAATGTAAAGTGCATAGAGGTTTCCAGCATTTTGCACTGTATAAGAATAAATATTTTTATTATTATTTATCTTTAAACCATGAGATGATTAAAACCATGCATCTTAATTTCAGAGAAGCTTTGATGAAAGGGAGCAAAAATTCAAACAGTTAACTCAGAACATATCAGCTTCATATAATGCAAAGAAAGACACAGGTTAGTATGCCTTCTATTCCAGCTTCTGCAGTTTTACAAGAGTACTGAACCTTTGTGTTTGGAAGAAATGCTGTATAGTTTTTATTATTTAACGACAGGTACGGACAGTGTGGTTGACAGCAGGCGGTTGTGATTATGACAATCTGCTCAGAATACTGCCACCAACAACTAGACTTGCGCTTTGTTTGGAGTATCACTACTTTATAGATGCTTTGATACATTCCTACTAATCATAATTTAACATTGATCAACGTCCGACATTAAAAAAAAGTTTTCAAAGTATTTATTATATCGAAATAGTGCCTGCTTGGGGATACTAAAAGTGCTATCTATTATTGTTATAATTTTATTTCAAATGTTGTACGAGTCTCATCAACATTGAATTGAACCCTGCCGTGCATATTCAATATTGCTTTGATTGTATGTTGTAGGGCGTAAGGTCATGTTAGCATATGTTGACCGTCCTGCCAAGGCTCCGCGCAACGTGAGACGGAAACAGGAACAGCATGGCACAGCTGGCCCAGTTACGCCGCATGAAGCGTTCGCCAATCCTCACAAGAAGAGCCCCTGGGCTGTTCCAAGAAATGAGGACACATTTGAATCTTCCAGTAGGCCAGCAAAAAGTAAGTCATGTGATAAAATCAGAAGTCAAGTACTGTAGTTCCACATGTTCATGTGATGGTTTTAGTGAGCCCATCCTATGTTCAGTTTAGCTACCCCACATTCAATTGTCTATGCTAGCTGAAGGTATTTTCAGCGGTAATATCTTGAACAAGCGTAATAAATTCAAATACAACATTGCATTGTGCTGATTTGAATTGAATAACTCCAGTGAAACAGATCAAAACAATTAAATTTTACAAATGTACAAACTTTTTAGCAGGAAATTCTTTATTACCAGCAATTTTAGGAGTCTACTTAAAAATTTTATAATTAATTTTATTTATCCATCTGTAAATTGTTGATAAAAATATTTTCTTGTTCAAATTTTCAATAAAAAGTTTTACACTAAATAATGTACAAAGTAATTCACATGTTTAGTATATGGTTCAGGTTTATTAGTTCTACACATTGCTATTAGATTTGATGTAGTAGTACCATAGAGCTATTATATTTCCAGGGTAGTACACAGCCTAATGTAGGCCTACATTCTATTCTTGACCTCTGACAACATAGAATGGTGCTGTAAGCTTTAACTGGACATGAACATGTGTGACTGCCCCTTTAAATTTCATGTGAGAAAGTGCTTTTAAGTCTAATCCTATGTCCAGATTATTAAATTTTCTTCTATCCCATATTCGTGATGTGCCTACTGTATATATGGTCATGATGTGATGTCATCATGACCATATTTAAGCATGTCACATGTTTTTGTCAAATAAAATGTGGCAGTCTGGACAGAGCTTTAGGAAATTTTCTTTAAAAAAATAAAAAAGAATGAAGTAATTCTGTCCCCATAAAACTGGCTTTCAAAACGTGCTTCTCATTGTACCTAAACAAGCCATTGATTTTTACATTGTAGGTCTAGGTACGTAGTGCATAATAATCGGTATTGTGTATCACTTCCAAAATAACAGGTAAACGTCGAAGATCCAGACGCCGAAATAAAAATAGACGGCGACGACGTAAACGCAACACTTTAGGGACGTATACGCCTAGTCTTGGATGGATGAAGCGGCATGGCCACTTTTAATATGCTTTTTTCAGTTTCTTATAGCATTTCTGACCTATTTTAATATATGATTTTTTTTTTCAGTTTCTTATAGCATTTCTATCAGTTATTTTGTTTCATTTTAAGCATCAAATTTGAGTTAGCATACACTATTTAAATCCCATCTTAATACTCTAAATCTAATAGCAACAAATCTTGCATTTATATATATATATATATAAGATGTGTATAAGAGACAGCATATCAGCTTCAATCATGCTCAATGAACACAGTGACTTAGCCACACTCATTTGATAATCATGCTCAATGAACACAGTGACTTAGCCACACTCATTTGATAATCATGCTCAATGAACACAGTGACTTAGCCACACTCATTTGATAATCATGCTCAATGAACACAGTGACTTAGCCACACTCATTTGATAATCATGCTCAATGAACACAGTGACTTAGCCACACTCATTTGATAATCATGCTCAATGAACACAGTGACTTAGCCACACTCATTTGATAATCATGCTCAATGAACACAGTGACTTAGCCACACTCATTTGATAATCATGCTCAATGAACACAGTGACTTAGCCACACTCAGATGTATATATGTACGTACGTACATACATGTATATATACTGCACATGTTGAAAAAATTCAACATTAGATGTTCAACAATCTTGATATAATCATAGGTTCATTCTGTGGCCCTATCTGCTAGTCCACATATGCTCAAAAAAATACAGTAGCATATTGCTTCATGCTACCTGAAACTAGAGATAAGTTCAAGCCCTATGAGCCCAGTAGCTCAGCAAGGATTTAGTTTTTTTCATATTAATTTTGCTTGCATAATTATGATGTTAGTGCTGGTGGCAAATGTGATTGCCACAATAAATGATTATGTTATTGTCAACGTAACCATTTAATTTTAATATCAACACATGTTTATTCCTCTCTGCTAGGTACTAAGATTATAGCACCCATGATGCAGAAGACGTTACGGTTTATCAAAAAATTGCAGAAGAGATGATGTTGTGGGTGGTGTTTGAAGAAGATGCAGTTTTCATAGTGACAATATACAGGCTACTATTTGGTATGACACTAAGGAAAAAGAGGAAAGAATTTTTTTAAATGGTCATGTGTTGTCTTCTGCAATAGTCAATGACTTTAGTAATTCAAATGGAAGTATCTTTCTAGAATTTCAATGTATTGTGCTTTAATGTTGTCTATTACCAATTTTTTTATATGACAAATACTTGCATTTGCACATATATCGTAATATGACATCCTTATGCCAGGACAAGTCACAAATATTTAGCCACACTCATTTGATAATCATTCTCAATGAACACAGTGACTTAGCCACACTCATTTGATAATCATGCTCAATGAACACAGTGACTTAGCCACACTCATTTGATAATCATGCTCAATGAACACAGTAACTTAGCCACACTCATTTGATAATCATGCTCAATGAACACAGTAACTTAGCCACACTCATTTGATAATCATTCTAAATGAACACAGTGACTTAGCCACACTCATTTGATAATCATTCTCAATGAACACAGTGACTTAGCGACACTCATTTGATAATCATGCTCAATGAACACAGTGACTTAGCCACACTCATTTGATAATCATTCTCAATGAACACAGTAACTTAGCCACACTCATTTGATAATCATGCTCAATAAACACAGTGACTTAGCCACACTCATTTGACAATCATGATCAATAAAAACAGTGACTTAGCCACACTCATTTGATAATCATTCTCAATGAACACAGTGACTTAGCCATACTCATTTGATAATCATGCTCAATGAACACAGTGACTTAGCCACACTCATTTGATAATCATGCTCAATGAACACAGTGACTTAGCCACACTCATTTGATAATCATCAATGAACACAGTGACTTAGCCACACTCATTTGATAATCATGCTCAATGAACACAGTGACTTAGCCACACTCATTTGATAATCATGCTCAATGTACAGAGTGACTTAGCCTCACGCATTTGACAATCATGCTCAATGAACACAGTGACTTAGCCACACTCATTTGATAATCATGCTCAATGAACACAGTAACTTAGCCACACTCATTTGATAATCATGCTCAATGTACAGAGTGACTTAGCCACACTCATTTGATAATCATGCTCAATGAACACAGTGACTTAGCCACACTCATTTGATAATCATGCTCAATAAACACAGTGACTTAGCCACACTCATTTGATAATCATGCTCAATAAACACAGTGACTTAGCCACACTCATTTGATAATCATGCTCAATAAAAACAGTGACTTAGCCACACTCATTTGATAATCATGCTCAATGTACAGAGTGACTTAGCCACACTCATTTGATAATCATGCTCAATGAACACAGTGACTTAGCCTCACTCATTTGATAATCATGCTCAATAAACACAGTGACTTAGCCACACTCATTTGATAATCATGCTCAATGAACACAGTGACTTAGCCACACTCATTTGACAATCATGCTCAATAAAGACAGTCACTTAGTCACACATTTGATAATTATGTCCAATAAACATAGTCACATTTTTAAATGTTATGTATATAATATTTATAAATATATATGAATAACTATATATATATCTTGGAACAGATACTTTAGACTGCATTTACAATTTACCATGTTTACTTAATGATCATCTATGTAGGCATATGGTTATAAGTTATTGAACATTAATTTAATTCATTTAATCAATTGCAATGCTTCATAATTTTATTTTTTAGTTTAATAATTTTAATAATATAATTCAAAATACATAAATTGAATAAAGTTATCAAATATGAGATCAACCTTAAATGCTTTTTCCTATTCCAATAAATTTGAAGATTCTATTAATTAATTATAGGCATTTATTAACAATTAATTGCACATTTTGCAATTAATAAATAGCAAAATTTTTGCAATAAATTTGAGAAAATATATCATGATACAAATCCGAAATGCATCCCAACTTGGTCGCAAGGTGGTCTAAAGGTCTTGGATTATTTATCAATTTGAATATTCATAAGCCTAAAAATGATTGATTGTAAATTAACAGTTTATATAAATTATATATGAATATATGTCATGAATATATTATTATTTGAATATGATATAACTGTACCATTTTGGATTATGAAAAATAAGAAATAATTCATAAAATTATAAAATAATTTACTTATCGATAATTGTTCTCATATAAGTACTTCTGTCATTAATTCTTTTAATTATTTAATAATTAATTAGTTTGTATAATTATGAATATTATGTTATGAATATTTGTTATTTGAATATTTTTATAGTTGTATTATTTTCATTTATGAAATGTAATTATAGACACTTTGTGTTTAGACATGACATGCACAATCTGTAACCTTGTTGCCATTAATAATCAGGGGCGGATCCAGAAATGTCCAAAAGTGGGGGGGGGCGCGGAAGCCGATTGAGACAACACTGTCGTAGGGGGTCCGGGGCATTCCCCCGCGAAATTTCTGTGTTCTAGACGCCCGAACATAACATTTGAGGCATTCTGGGCTATCATTTTTTTCTTTTTCTCTCTTTTTTTTTACCTCCCAAAAGGGAAGGCCGGGCCGCCCCCCCTCCCCCCACCAAATCCGCCCCTGATAATGTGCATTTTTCCTCAGTACTAGACATTTAGGGGTTGTTCAGTATTATCAACATCTTCACAAGTGTGCAAACAGTACGTTAGGGGGAGGGCGTGCTAGACACATTTGTACACTTTTACATAATTGTGAACGACCCCTAACACAATAGATAATTTTAAAAATGCCTATTAACTATATTAAACAATATTTACATATTTGTAAATTATGTTAATATTATAGTAAAATATTTGGTTTATTCTAGTGAATATAATTTATTATATTTGTTGTGTAATAAATTTGAAATACAGTATGTTGAAGCCTATGCTACTTTATTGTAATTGCCATTGTGTTGTTGTATATGATTTATTGGATATTGAATTAAAGTAGGTAAAATGATGTGATTTAACAGTATTAATCGTGTATCACTGAATACCATCAGATTAGCATGTCTTAATGGGAAAATCCAAGTGTGTATACCACTTTATAGCTCATTTGGCAGAGCGTCCAAAGGATTGGGGTGGGGGGAGGTATTACACAATGAAATTTTAGGCCCACCACCTAACTTAATCTTCATAATATATACATGGTATTCATGAATATTCATGACCTTTTGATATTTAAAAATTAGATTGTCTCATCTTCTTCGTGGTCATTTTTCGGTTGCGTAGAGGCCTCTCCATTAAAGGCTGATAAGGGAGAGCCTGGTTGTTCCGGATTCACATGCTTGTAGTTACCATCGACCTGTAAAAATTTAAAAGAAATCGTGAATACTTTTAATTTGACTGTTGATTTGATTATAACTCTTATTTAATTACCGTCTGTATTCCAATCAAACAATCCGTTGCATTGACATGGACAAAAATCATGACTACAGGCCTGGGCAGCAGATTTTATACGAAGAATGTTTGTGGGGGGGGGGGGTGGAACAAAGCTGTAGAGTAATCAACTTTGTCTCAGGGGTTAAGTTCACAATTCGATTTTTGAGGCCCGACTGTTCTTCCTAGTTGGTTTGGGACACTGACTCGTTGTCTATATAAAATGATGCCTTATCTTATTTCCAAATCATCATTCTTACCTCTGCTTTGAGGGTACAGTACAAGATAGTAAACATGGCGAGCGATATCATTTTTAAGCCAATCAGCAGACTAAAATAAAAGTATCGATACTTCTCTATGTCATACATCAAACAAGCACCCTCATCACCGCAAGTCGTCTGCCACAGCAAGCAAACAGAATTTATAATAGCACCAAAATATATCGGAGCAGGAAAGTAGCCTGAAAAAGAAATAACAATGGTAACTTTCCTATGCTACATCTATTTTTAATAAAATAATGTGTGGACTTATTCAAACTACAATCTTCTCGACCTTACCTCAAGAGACGATTTGAGTATATCTCTTTATTGTACCATGATTTGTAAATAAATAATAATTGCTTGCGATTTTTTTTTTCTCGCAAGCATTAATTGGGAATGCACTGAGCATTCAATACTTATAACACGTCAGGTGGGACAAACATCATTTCGTATCATTTCTCGAAATGAAAATACGCCATCAAAATAATATTATTTGTTATTATTTTACAAGAAGTATATTTTCGAAGATCCCGTTAACATTTAGATGAGGGCGTTTCATAGTCAAATCTGGTATTTAGAGTGAGTGAATCAAGCACTGTAGTGTTCAACTACGCATGTGAAAAAGTGTGGCTTCTAATCGATTTCAATTCTAAAAAAGCGCAGTTGGTTAAGGGGTTGAGGACGGCGAAAGAGTAATTTTATCTTCTATAAATTAATAGCAAAAGTTATGATGGGGAGGAAGCATTTTTTAAACTACCGCCCAAGACATTCTTACCTATAACTTTTGTGGACAGTTGTTGAAACCCAAGTGCAACTGAGCGATCTTCGTCGGCAACTATCCTACAAGAGATGATTATGATAGTATAATAACTGTGTACATGAAATTGATTACGTTAATGGTTAAATCAATTTATATCATAAAATAGCTATTTTACACGCTTGAGCTTCTTTTTGCAATTTTAGAAATTTCGCATAAGCCTATAAAAAATGTTATTTGTATTATTTCATAGGCTAGAATTATATATTTATCATTAGAGTAATTTCTTGTTTTGATATAGTAATATTCCATGTGCCATCAACACAGTCAAAATTAATATTCGTACCGTAACATAATTGAAGACGACGGGCTTGGCAAAAGACTTGAGGATATCATCAAGATTGCCGTTAGGATGACGTACATTGGCAGAGTACTGCAGTCGAACGAACATCTCCCAGACACAGCTCGTCCGTAACCGTCTTTAGAATCGGGGTCTGAAATACAGGTACAGCCTGTATAGATCTAATGAAGAATGCAAATATCATTAGTTTACACCATAATACATCGTCATCGTTATCACTACCATCACCGTCATTATAGTCAGTGGCAGTCCAGTGGCAGGCGCACAGGGAAAATGCATGATTTGTGTTGAGTGGAGATGTAAGCTTGGTGGTTAAGATCAATCCAAGCCTTTCAATCCCAGAACCCTGGGTTTAAATGTGACAGCATAGGATTTTTTTTTTCTTCTCATGCCACTAAAGCACATCTTCACTCCCTAAGCCCCGTAATGAGACTTCGCTGATAAAGCATTACATTATTTCATTTTTTTTAAGAAGGCCCTGAATAATCAGCCAACCTTCTGGGATACCGTAAGTTAGGAGGGCCACCCTCTATAAATAGTGCCTATGGGTACTAAAATAAAGTGAAAGCTCTATATTTTTTTAAATTTATTTTATCCTTTTCAAAGAATAGTATATGAATATTTGTTGGGTCTCCATCCAATTCAAGATTACTTTTGGGACCAGGGTTTCATGGTCTGTAAAAGATAAAAATACACTTGTAAATTTGGGACCACAAAAAAGGTGGTCTTTAATTAGAGGTGGTCTTTAATTGGAGGCATTGGAGGTGTCTTTAATTTGAGAGAGACCTGTATTTATTATTAGCAAACAACTATAGTAATTACCGTATCGGAATCGAAGGGATTAAATTTCTTACTACCCGACTTCTGCGAACACCCAGCGTGACAGGCCGATGTATAAGTGACGCCATCGGAACCGCAGACTGGAAGGAACATCTGCGCAGAGCAAAAACAGTCTGCATTGCATGCGGATTTTAAACCAGGTAATACCGCAGTACCATTAGTCAGTTTCGTGGTTTGATATCTGTGTTAAAAATGCATAGTTGTAAAATTTGTGATTCGAGTGGATATTTTCAAGATTTATTTGTAGGCCTATATGGAACGGGTCGGTACATAGGCCTATTAGAGATGCCTTTATATGTCAAAGTAGAGAATATTTTAAGCATATTATTTTTAAAAATCACTTTTTATCTACCAGGGCTGCTTAATGTGATTTTCTTCTAAATTATTTATTATATTGCTTGTTTTTTGTTTTGAGTGTTGGGGCACGCTTGTGATGACAGTTGTCATATACTGTCCGTTGTTTCTGTATGTTTTGCCTGAATTCATAAAATTATTTTAAAAAAAAAAATGTAAATGAGCCATGTTGGTGCACTGCTGCATTAAAAAAAATTGAATACTCGTTTAAAATTGCATGAGCACATTGTTGCAATGCCCACAATCTAATATTACTGCTTTCGGGAAAATCGATTTCCGGTACCCGTACACATCATTTTGACTTATTATCATTTTTTTTTTCTTACGTCAACTTGTAGGCCTATATAATAATTCGGAAGTAATAATAGTTTGTAAGTAGTCTGGACCTTATTGAAAAACAATGTATTTCATTTCAATGTTTGTTGTACATTGAATATGATATCCTGAATAAATATTGTGCAAAAAAACAAAAACAAAACCAATGTTGCCGTAAATGCTCGAATAAATGCAACGGCGCTTACAACAGTTTTGGTGGCTTACGTGCGCCGCTTATTCGAGAGCGGCGCTTAACGTTTTTCTTTACACACGGGGTATAATAATGTACTCTTAACGCCGCGACGCTTATTCGAGAGCGGCGCTTAGCCAAAAAATCACGTTTGTGCTGCGCTTATTCGAGTATTTACGGTAGTATACATTAGAGTACATTATTATATTATATTCAGTATTCTTGAAAATGATCAAATAGATCAAAACGTTGAATCTCAAAATGTCCCTGTCTCTTTTCGGAGTTACTGTCTTTTTGTTTTAAATACATTTTATCATTAGTATTATTATCATCATCGTCATCGTCACCGTCATATCATCATCATTATCATCATTGTTATAATTTAATCTTTTAATTATATTATTGACTACCGGTATCTTACCTTGATCCGTTTACCTTCATCTGATTTGATGCTTGACCGAATGGTGTTGTAAATCCAGCAACATTCGGGTTGTTGCAACCCACAAACATCAGCACCGGAAATAAGCAGAGTCCAATAGAAACACCACAAATTAAAAACAAGGACGTCTTCTTGGTCCCCAGTTTGAATTTACGACAGAATGTACCGGCAAACAAATTGCCGAGTGTGTTGCACGGAGCAATTACTGAACCTGAGAAAGAAACATGAATTGATTTTTTTAGACAAATAAATTACATAAATCCTGATCACTTAAAAACAATTAAAAATATTAATACTTTTAAATACAAATTACATTCGTATCTAGTTTCTTCCACCACATGAATTTCTGGTACTTATCTGCTAGGCCTATACTTTTTATATTAATGTAGGCCTGTATTATATTTTATTATACTTTATATCTTGATTTGGCATTTCTTTGAATTAAGATTTATTTATTGGAAACATTCTTATGTTGAGGACCCCACACATTATTAAAGCTTGCTTACAGTGGGGTACCTTTTTCACATA